TTCCCGCAGGACATGGAGCACCTGCCGGACGACGTGCTCGTGACGCTGATGGAGTACCTGGACGTGGAGGACCTCCTCGCCTGCCGCCTCGTGTGCAAGAGGCTCGGCGACCTGGCGCTGCACCGGGACGTGTGGCGGCATCGACAACTGCCAGGCTCCCGATGCGTGTGCCCCGTGCTGCGACTCGCGCCGTGCGTCGCTTCCCTGAGTGTAGAACTTCCGCATCATCACCGATGTGGCCTCGCGTACATTACGACCAGGTGCGCTGTAACAAGGTTGTCCCTCTCTCTACGCAAAGACTGCGACGCGATGCGCGCAGCAGCGGTGATCTGCAGGCAGGAGGCGCTCGGCCGTCTGAGGAGCGTTCAAGTCGATTTTGGCTATATCCTTGACGTCTCCTACGTTTTGGGAACTCTGGCTACAACGGCTGACTTGGAGGAGCTTCAAGTCACGGGACTAGAATATCACGCACCAGCCACGGCCGTTGCTGTCTCGGGCATCCCCGTGTCGACGCCTTCACTGAGATTTTTCCGGTGCGAGCTCCTCCCGAAGACCGAGCATTTTGTGAACTTCATCCTGGCCGGACACGCGGCCACGCTCCAGAGGGTTGACCTCGGCCATTGGCGCTACGGCACCGACTCCACTGGGCACTTACTGGGCGGCTTGCCGAATCTCCGCCAGCTGAAGTGCAGCAGTATGCCCGGGCTGGAGGCCTTCGCCGCTTGCGAATCGCTCCAGGACCTGGACCTGCTCGTTAGCTGGCTAGTTAGGGATGGAAGTGGAGGTTATAACCGGGCCGCCGTCGCGGGGGCTGCACAGCTCCTCCGGCGCGCCAAAAACCTCCGCGAACTACGCCTCGAATACGAACCCCCGTTGTGCTTCGCTGAGCAGGACGGCGTGGACCATCTCCTGGACCTGGCATCGTCAGGGCGGTCCTGCTTGGAAAAGCTGACAGTCTATAACCATTACGATAGCCTGCCAGCATTCTTCCCCGTGCAGACGCTGGTGAGCGTGCTGCCGTCGCTGTCGGCCCTGGTGCACCTCAAGGTGGACGCGAACGTGCGGCCGGACGAGCTGCTGCTGGCCATCACGCCCGACGTAGCGCCGGCGCTGCAAGAGGTTGACGTGTGGCTGCAACGCGGAACGTGCCCTCACGGCTGGATCCACGGGGACACGGTAAAGGCGGTCTTGTCGGCGAACCCTTCGCTCCATGTAGGGGTGGGTAACAATTGTGCCCCCTGTAGCGGCCTGGTTAGTCAAGTCAAGTCAAGGGGTAGGGACCGCTGCAGCGCAGCATGCGTACTTGACTGTCACGTAGTTCTGAGAGAGTTTGGGACCCGTGCTCCTTTTGAGTGGTTCTTTTGCCTATTCTCTCATGACCCCACTGCCAGGTGTTCAAGGGGCCATTGGGATGACTTCTGGATCCATGTCCCCGTATAAAGTCCTATTCTTGTGCCGTATACTTTTTCGTTAATTTGCTTTGTTCTGTCTATGTATTGATCTATTCGTCAGAATAAAAGGTTTGCCTTCTCGAATCTCATTCCCCTTCGCTCAACACGTGTCCCTCGTCCTTCCACATGAGATGAGCAAGCTGGTACCTCGAGCACGCTCTCCCTGGCGACGTGCAGAATCGCAAGTCTCTGTGAAGCCGATATAAAAGAGTCAGGAAGCACTCAATTTCGACAGAGGGGGTCGAAGGCGACTCTCCCAGACCAATCCCGACCATTTCCAGCGATTTTCAAATTTTTCATTTTTGGCAAAATTTACAAAGGCCCAGTCAGGAAGCACTCAATTTAGCCGTTGTGTTTTTAGCGAAAATTGATGGGTCCGGATTTCGACGGAAAAGTAGCCGAATCGACAGGGGTGACCCAGGGGACCACAAAACTACCTTTGGTTCCGTCAGAAACCACCCCTGTCCAGAGAAACTTGAGTTTTAAGGGTGGTCTTTTGAATCTGGCGGTCAGCGTACGATGGGCTGCCTACCTCGCAGGCGAACCGCTCCGAGAACAGGCGTATCTCACTTAAATTGCCCGGTGGCGCGAAACTTCGACGCGGAGATTGAAAGAGGATTCAGTCTGACCAATCCCAACTATTTCCAGCGATTTTCAAAATTTTCATTTTTGGCAAAATTTGCAAAGGCAAGGGTCCGGTTTTCTGACGGAGGAGTACTTGAATAGATAGGGGTGTACCAGGGACCACGAAACTACCTTTGCTTCTGTCAGAAACCACTCCTGTTTACAGAAACTTGAATTTTAAGAGCTGGTCTCCCTATGGGTGGGTAGGCTACCTAAGGCTAAGAACTCTGCTGTAGTGGGTCGGCACCATGATATTTAAACAGGGTAACTGAAAAGGGAGTTTGCCCGACCAATCCAAACCAATTCCAGCAGTTTTCCAAATTGTCAAGATTTTTAAAAGAAATTTTCAATGATAACAAATCAGCCTGGATTTTGACAGAAGAGGATTGAAATCGACAACAAAGAACCAAGGCACCACAAGAAACATCAAAAACCACCCTTTGATGCACACGAAAGGAAGCTCCTCATAGAGTCTGTGCAGAGACAAATTAGACCAGCGTTGGTTACTGTCATGTCAACTCACCTATTCTTTTGGGTGAAATGACTCCATAGACTTCTTTCCTCGTGTCAAGAACATTTCTGGGCCGAGTTCCTGCAATCATATTAAATGGTATACTTTTAGTGCTCATCAACTGTTAATTACATTTAAATTACTCATACAATACAATACACCTTTAAATGCCTCTCCCCCCATACATCTCTAAATGTCCATGGTCTTTTAAATAAATAATTTGGCACTGGACTCAAGCATTAAGTACGAAGGAGCAGCTGCAAATAGCTGCAACGCACAATTATTAATTGTTTGGGAGATTACGCAAACAGTATCACTCGGTTTGCACCCCAACCAGAAAGTAATAAAGTTTTCTGTTCCACGAGAAAAATATGGAGTAAAATAGATGATATATGATAAAACACTGACAGTGACCTGCAGCAGTATTTAACATACTGTATGGAATAAAGAAGTGTACCCATTCAACACCTTTTCAACAAAGCTTACAGAGCGCCAAGTTTACATCACGGGCATCATTTACTCGGCCTCAAAAAAATAACTGACAACTTGTGCACTGGAGCACACTAACCTCTTACATTACAGCAATAACCGGAATGGAACAATTCAATTATCTGGACCGGAAACAATCAAGCACTATACCTTGCGATTAATATCGAAAAGTGGCGATGTCCACCCGAAAATTCTGATTAAAATCCTATGGTCAATTAAATGAGTAGGTATTATCGGTATTTAGCAGAAGACGCCGATCGTGACACCGACCGATTTTTATTGTTTGTTTACGTTTCCATAAAGGCGCGGCAAATGCGGGGTGGGGAGGAGGAGAGGAGTAGGGGACGCGGCACGGCAAAGGGGGAAGAGCAATAATTACGGCAGAAGTTCTGATCAGACAACGACACTCCGCATCAAACACCGTGGCCAAAATTTCAAATATTGACCACAATGAAGAGGTTGTCGCTGGACAAAAATAGCGATATTTGGGCGACTGTACGAATAACCGCTTTGGATAAAACGTCTATAGTCGCCACACACCGGGTATTGTCGTCACCGACCGTGCGGCCCCGCACCTCGAGAACATGGTAGTACCCGTCAGGCGTGCGAAAACTGGACAAGCCACTTTGGCAGCGATCCGCCTATGGTTCTGCTTGCTCAACGCTCATGGGTCCGCGGGTGCTCTTTGTGATCGGAGGGACGCACACCTTCATCTGAGAGGCGAACGGGCATATCGATTTTAATTTGGGACAACTAACGTCCGCAGAGGACACTTTAATGATGAATGTGCGTGGTGCTGGTGGGGGAGTTGGGGAGAGGGGGGAAGGGCTGCCACTCCCCTACCACCCGCCCCAAGACTGCAACCCCTGCAGCCAGTGCGTAGGCAACCCAAAGTACCGTCATGTCCACCCGGTATTACCGCAAGGCGCCAAACCGCATGCCTGCCTTCTCTATTGCTGTGCTTACACGAGGAAAAGAACCTGCCCGTTCTACGCTGACCCTCGGAGAAGGCCCACTCGAGTCGTCACCGTATGTCTCTTCTTCATGCCTGCGATCTGGATCCGCGGCTCCGGGGAAATCCGCAGGGCGGGGGGCGGGCTCTCCTACGGCTTTGCAGGACAGGCTCTGGTGGCGGCACCGAGGGCGGCCAGGTGGCCAGGGGCCGGGCCGGGCCACCCCCAAGCCAGGCACCCGCACCACCGCTCGGTGATGCGCCCACGCCCTCCATGTCTCAGGGCGGTGAGAAAAACACCGTTCCCGGAAGCAGGTAGCCTGCAGGCCGCCAAATCGCCACTCGGCGGCAGGTCGCCACTTTGGCGCCGTTCGGGAACGCAGAGGCGCACCTTTCTTCGTCGCCAACCTTTGTGCTCTTTACCGCGGCCCGGGGATTTCAAGGGGATCCCCGGCACAGCCCTGACCTGACCCGTGCCCTGAGGATGGTGTTGGGGCTTCAGCGGCCTCGACTCGACGAGCGGGCACCTGGACGACGGGATCCTGGCGAGCAGCGGGCGGTGTGGGCCGGGAGGCCCTCTAGCTAGTCGACTCCCACAGCTCACACCGACGGACACGCTTGGCGCACCACGCCGATCGAGAGCGCCGCCGATAAACTGTCTCGTTCTTCGTCTCCGCTGGGCAACGAAAAGCAGCTCTCCAGAACCCCCCGGAGCTCGCA